CATCATAGAAATGCAGGGGTGAAGTTGATGATCCGAGTGTCATTTCAACCACGGTTGCTGGAGGCACACCCCCTTTCCCCTGGCAATGCAATTGGCCAAAACAATCGCCAGTCTCACAATTGCCTTTTCCATCATTGTCAAATTGACAGCCCTGCCTGCCCCATATCCTTCCTGACCACTTCTCAGGCACATCAAGAACTAGTTCTTGGCCACTGCCGAGGTGGAAACCTCCACTTTGAGGAGTGGCTAGGCCTGCAGTGCCAAGTATACCAGGCCATATACTTTCATTGCAGTTGTTTACTAGAATGAGTTGAGCTCCATCTGCAACAAGAAAAACCCAATTAGAAACACAAAAAAGAAAACACAGTGCATGAATCAATAGAGTACAAGAAGTACATAGAAGAAGAAGATGAAGAATTACTTGTAATTGAGATTGAGGCTAAAAGGAAGAGTAGGGGGAAGAGAAAAGAGGAAGTTGGCATTGATGTCTATATGGTGAGAAGGGGACTGAGAATTGGAGAACTACTTAATCTGAAAACACTTCACCACCACAACCATATATATATATAAATTGAGACAACATCAAGCTTTTTAACATCCTCTCTAAACGGCTGTATAAGTCTCTTTTGCTTTCTTTTTCAACCCTCTTTCCACTTTTACTTTCATGATGATAAAAGGGCATATATTCATTGCTTCCCATTGAGGGCTTTCTTTTCTCCACTACTATCTATAAACAAATTTAAACTAAAATTTCTAAATTAAAAAGAATTAACAAAAATACAGGACCTCTTTTCTGGTATTGGTGAAGTTGAATGATGAAACTTTTATTTGGATTACTTGATCCTCAATTTATTCCTGTGAATCAAATGCTTATGAAAGCAGAAAAATTTATGAACTATTTTAAATTACAAGTAGCAGCAGCTATATTGCAAAAGTAATATCATGTTAAGATACTACAAGTAATCTTCATCATTGTTTAAGATAAAGTGATTTCTAAAACACAATTATGCTTCTTCCTTTACCAAATCACATCAAAGGATCTTTCTTTTGTGTCTCGGAAGCAGGTTTCAACAGAAATTGGCATGCATGCTTCTGATTGAAAAAGTTTGATTTGGGAATATAGAAGAAGATAGAAGATTATGGACTGGCTAGGAAAAGATAGCCTCCTGATGCCCTGCATCTTAATACATGCAAAAAAACAGTCCTTTCCAATTGATAAGAACAAAAACAAGGATTTGGAAAAGTGCAGGACACATGATAATGCAGGTAAAACAATTGTACTTAGAGGCCTCAAAACTTTTTCCAAAATTTAGTTACCAAGTGAGTTAATTAATCTTGACCAAAAAAAAGTGAGTTAATTAATTATATGAGTGTATAAACATGTACTAAGATATCAATGAAGTGTACATATACACATGTTAAATTTAAAATAACCCAAAATTACCCTCGTTCACGAAAAAAATTCAATACACAAATACTTCATTTTAAAGGGACAAATACGCAAAACAATAGTCTATGAAAATCCAAGTAATTGAAAAACTAAAATGAAATAAGAGTTCATGCCCAACAACAAAAAATTCTTTATAGATAAGCTTGTCAATTTATGAAAAAGGGTGACTTGATTTATTTATTTTTTGTGGGTGAAAGGGTAAATTGAATTTGATTGAGTTTTTTCCTTACAAATATAATTAAATTCGAAAATAAAATATTAAGAAATATCAAAATTTTGATTTTCCAATTTCCCCTTCTTCTTTTTTGGACAACAAACAAAAACCGCTCGCATTCCAATTTAGGGTTTTGGATATTCCTATTCAGGAAGAGAAACCAGCAACCGCGATGATTCACACCGCAGTTAAGCTATCACGAGCTGGGGCTACCGTTACTCGAACCGCAAAGCTCGGGCCCTCCCTCCTTCAACGATCACCACCGTCCAGACTAGTTCACGATGGGATCAACGGCTCAAACGCCAACCCTGTTGCTCTTCAGATGATCAACTACGCTCTCTCTCATGCCAGGTCCCAGAAATCAGGTACCTTTTACTCTCGTATTCTCAATTTCCCATTTTTTTTCAACTTTGAAATTGAATTCTGGAATTGAAGTGTTGTTTTAATTTTGGATATTTGGGCAATGTAGATGAATCGTATGCACAAGGTCTGCTTGTATTGGAACAGTGCCTTTCGACTCAGCCAAGTGAAGGGCAGGACCCTGCTGGTGATAATTCAAGGGGAATGGTTTTATTGGCCATGTCCACTTTATCATCTGAAAGGTTTTTTCTTTTTTCTTTTCTTTTGGGTCGTTGCAAAACCCAATTAAGTTCTATGCTTGATGGATTAAGAAACTCATATTTAATTTTTCAGAGGAAATTTTGATGAAGCAATGGATAAACTGCAAAAAGTTCAAGACTTGACCAGCTCTTCAATTGGTGTCAGGGGTAAGATTTTTTTATATTTTTATATTTTAAATTTCCTTAATAGAATGACCTATTGACTAATAAATCATTCTGGCTTTTGTTAAAGTTGCCGCCTTGGAGGCTCTTGTTGGACTTCACTTAGAGTTGGAGCAGGTAATCACCATGAGAACGATTAGAAATGTTTTCTTGTATTTTTGTATGCTTTAAGTATATGTAAATGGTTCTCCCTATATAGGATGATACCTCATCAGTGCTCGCAGATAAATGCTTAGAACTGTTGGTGAAGAACAAGCCTGGATCAAATGGTGGAGATTCTGAGGTTATACATGCTCGTGCTAGAGCAGTAAAAGGGCTTGTTGAGCTTGTCCATGGTAATACTGTGTCAGGTACAGCTAAAGGCTAACTTAGCATTTGTCTAAATTTACACTCACATTTGCCCCAGCTAGTACATTTCTGAGTATCAGGAAAAGCAAATTCTGAATTTGGGTTCTTTGCAGCTGAGTCTTTCTTTCGAGGACTTGAGGACAACCTGGAAATCACCGGTGAGGTTCATTTTATATGTCATCGTGGCTTAGACAAGACATTGGTCGACATGAGATGATAAATTTAAAGTTATGCAGGTAGTACTGCTTTATCCTATGGAGAATTCTTGCATGCGTCACAGAAATTTTCGTTGGCGAAGGATGTCTACCAGAATGTTATTCAAGGGGGATCCAAGAATAAAGAGTTCAGTAACTCAAATGCATTGGCAGCCTGTAATATGTCACCAGAGGAAGTTTCCCTTGCTGCCACATGTGCTTTGGGACAGCTTGAGGCTCACTTGGGGTAAGTTCTTGACTACTGTTGAGCCTTTCTTTTTTCATTTTTTAGCTAGATTGACCATGAGATTAACCTGTGTTCTTTTAGGAACTTTGCTGATGCCGAGGAGATATTGACTAGGGCTTTAACCATAGCAGAGGAACATTTTGGTGTGTTGCTTTGTTATTACTTTTGTTATGAGTGGTGCAAAAGTTCTCAGAATTTTTATTAAACGATGAGTTGATATCCTTGTGGTTTCCTTGATTTTTGTGTAGGCTCTCACCATCCCAAGGTTGGTGTTGTTTTAACCTGCATAGCTCTCATGTTTCGGCGTAAAGCAATGCTAGAGCATTCTAGTGCTCTTTTGATTCAAGAGGTTAGAATTTGTATATTATCCTCTCTACTTCTTTTTATCAACTTTCGAATCTCGTGTTTTCTTGCTATACTTTATTTCTATGGCCTTATTCTTCCCCCTCCCCCTACAATTGACAGGGCCTTTATAGAAGGGCAATAGAGTTGCTGAAAGCTCCACCATTTGAGACCGAAGGTATGTGTTAAGTGTGCCATAATTTTCTTCACATTTGAGAGTAGGTAATAATTGTTCATTGCTCTTTATTGGGTTGTGTAGGTGCTGAAGCAAAGGTAGATAGAAGTGATATAGTGGCCCTTGCAAGAGGTAATGGCTAAGCATCCAAATGGTTTCTCAGCATGCACTTTGAGTATAATCTTAACTAGATATTATAACTGAACAATGACCATTTTTGCAAAATCAGCTTTGTATATTCTCACAAGAGATTTGGTCTTATTGCATACATGTTAAACCAGTTTTAAGAAAAGAACAAATGCACCTAAGGAGTTGTGATAAACTTCCAGGGCTCCAATTCAAGTAGAATAGGTCTCTGTCTGGATGGAAACCTGCTATGACCTTTATCATTGCAGCTATTTGACATGATGACTTTTCAATTTAAAGATTCTAAACAGGTTGTCTGGACTGATATAGTTAATTGATTGTGTAGGCGGGTATGCAGAAGTACTTTGTGTCCAAAAGAACCGAAAGGATCAAGGAGAAAAAGTGAAGAGTTGGGCAGAGGCTATATGGAGAAACCGCCGGCTGTCATTGGCCCAAGCACTGGATGTATCTAATACCAATTCAGAAGTTCCAATTATAGATGCTCGAATCGGCAGGGTCCTGTAATGTCTTCATTCCCAGTATCTGCAGTGGCAGTTAGAGGTTCTTTTCTTTGGTGATATATATCACAAGGAATGTGTAGATTTGCTCCAATCCCTCATATGCCCTTTGCACTCTATAATGATATACAACTAGATGAGAAGATGCACCAAACACCTTCATGCGGTATCTTTACGCCATGTGACATCATGACATGTATGTGTACCTATATCCAGATAATGTTGAGGAATCTTTGGTGGCAGCTACATATAAGTTTGATGTACAATCCCTTGGAAAGAAATTTTGTTATCGGAGTGGTTAGTGGTCATCCGAGACTTCGTGGGACTAGGGTCTGAATTGTTGAACTAAATTTTGATTATTAATAGATCAACCCTGGTGATTTTGTTGCGTATAGACTGTAATTATCAAGCTCCATTTTAATGTGCATCAAATCTGAGTTCCGATTGACCTTAAACCAGGAGCATTGAAGATTGTACGGCATGTGAATTGGCCGAGCTCATGAAGAAAACAGAATCAAGGGTCGTCATGGACATAAGAAGATAGGAAAGATCAGAAGAGCTCATTTTAGATGCTATACCGTTTAGCCTACAAAAGAATGACAGCAATCGAAAACGAAGCATGGGGTTCCTTGCAGCATAAGTTCTATATATTACAAAGTCTGATCTGCACACAAATTAATGAGGTGCAAAACAGAGCAACCCACTTAAGATGAATTACAAAATGCAGTTTTGAACCAGTGCTTGTTACAAATAAAGTTCCCCCTTTATACAATGGTCACAGAGGAATATCAAGACCTTTTCCAATTTCCACTCCAATCAACTGTAATATTCCTTTGTTCAATATCTGAAAATCATGAAACCAATATAAAACAGGTCAGCCAGAAAAACCTCAGAAACTTCCTCAGTTTTCAAAAACCAGACCATAAAAACCAAGAAGAAGAATAAGAATTTTACCAATTCTACAATGAAAGTTCCAATAAGTCCAATCATGCAAGCTCTAGAGTTCCATATTTCTGCAGTCCTGGTGAACCCAAGGAAGGGGGGCTCAAATTTTGGCTCTACTTTTGGCACCACCACCTGAAATTTTAGATGCACATTTTATGTTTTCAAAACACAAAATTATATTTCTCTCATAAGGGTAAAATATGCATACAAATACAATATAATTGAAGAAAGAAGTAAACTTTTATGACAGAATAACAGAGAGACGGAAGGAACAAATTAAAAACACACCCCAGCAGGAAGCTTGGCAGCTTGAACTCTGAAGGCAGCACTTCTTTTGGAGGCTGTGCCAGGCAGAGTCCCATTACGTAAAAGGCAGAGTTTCTGGTTTTGAGAATTTGCTGTTAAAACTCTGGTGGGAAGGAGAGAAGACGATATTATGGTAGATGAAGTTGCCATGGTTTCTTCTTTTTTCTGGTTTTTTGGGTTTTGTTCTATGCTATGCTATGTTTTCTTTACCTTCCTTATCCGCACTCAACACACACAACACTTGGCAAAGAACTTTCCACGTCATATGCTGTAATATTGTGGTGGGACCCTCTTCCTTATGGACGGAGATTATGGATATCGTTTACCTTGTGTCTTGTGGGGTCTATTTTTTTTTTTTTTTAATTTATAAATTTATTAACAAAAAAATTTCTTATGATTAATTAGTTTGTGTTGTGAACTTTAATTCTTATGTGTCACATTTCATGAACTAGAAGTTCTTTTAAGATAATAAATTTTTCTTTTTTATACCAATGATATTGAAAGAAAGGATAATTAACTTAGACATCGGGTGCATAAGTAAATATTCTTAATTACTTAAACTATAAGTCTTATATCAACAACAAACATGAGAAAAGAAAAAAATACACCAGAAATGTATAGTCCCATTTACCATTAACGTTTATAATTTCGTGATCCCAACTCTCCCAGTCTCATCAAAATAAATTGGCAAGCTTGATGTAGGTAGCAGTCCAGCAATAGCATATATAAGAAAAGGCAACCACAATTAATGTGTAGACGTGTGGAAATAATATGCATGCAGGAGAGAGCTATATATGTAGAAGAAAGAACATAGCTTTGCTCATTTCTTGTCTCATAGAATCTGTTAAATTCTGTGTCAAGATTTTCTTGAGAATCTTAATGTTTTGGTACAGTTGAGGGAAATTTATTAAATAAAAAAACATATTTTTACTGATCATCTTCTTCTCTCTTTCTCTTGTTGATCCTCCTCCCTGGTTCCGCATTGATCATGTTTCGGCCTCTCATATTAAAGAGAGAGAAATCAACATGGTTATCATAAGAGTTAATACGCTCCTTCAACAACACTGTTGTGGGACTTGAAGGGCAGAAATGGAAAATCCCGTGACCTATTAAGTTGTACAAGCCATCAACCGATTGCTCTTCCATGATCTTATGGCATTTCACCAACTCAGCCTACATTATATGTTCATCACAAACCAATCAATAAAACAGTAAAATATCACATATTAATTACGAAAAACCAAAGGAAAAAAAAACAAAAAAGGGATTTTGATGCTTAACCTTTCGATCATGATCCAAGAGACTTGTAAGACAAGTGTGGCAGGCATCAGATGTTGCTGTTGAAGTTTGTAACTTGTCCAGACTGCACCTTAGGGCAGACATGGCAATCACACTTGGCCTAAAACCCAGCAGCTTCGAATCTGGACCGTTCACATACATTGGTTGGTTTCATTTTTTTTCTATATCAGTATAATTGATATAATTAGTATATCTGTACCTGAAATAGCTCCAAGAAGCAACTTGTTGACTCGGGCAATGAACTCTTGATGAAGTTGAGGTTTCAATGAGTCCATAATCCGTGTCAACAATTCTAGGTAAGAATAAGATGTTGTAGAAGCAAGGCGCCATCCTAATGCCTTTAGCAGCATCATTTCCATTCGTTGGATTGTGCTTGGCTCAAATAGATGGTCAACATCTTCCATCTTCAACATATATATAGGACACCACAGTCAACAATGATAGAAGATGATGGCATTTCCTAGAAGTTAAACAAATTACATCAACTGTAGTAACCTGAATTTCGAGCAGCGTCGGAGTGCAGGTATCGTTGAATTTGGTGGCAACGGATAAGCAGGCAACAGATAACAATTCCACCATCCAATATTCCCATCCCTTAAAATACATAGATAATGCACATTTGCATTCAACTTTTTATCCCCAAAAAAAAAAACTAAAGAAATTGGAAAATTAGAAAAGTTAAAGAAAATGATGCATCGTGTTATATTTCTTACATTACAATGGTTCATAGATATGAATCGATCAAGGTAATTTGCAGCATAGAAAACAGTTCCAAGGGAGAGGTTCAACCGACTTCTACACTGGAAACACAAATAAACAAATAAACAAACTAATGTACATATATATATATATATATATATATATATATAGAGAGAGAGAGAGAGAGAGAGAGAGAGAGAGAGAGAGAGAGAGACATTATTTCCATGATTATTCAAGAAGAAATAACTTTGAACATAAGATATATGGTAGTTCTTGCTCTGCTAGGAAAGGGGTAGTCTCTCACAGTTCAACTTTATATATATACTGACCTTGATAAACCAGTGAATGCTTTTAAACCTAGCAATGATCAAATTATTTGAACACAATTTCTCTGCATAGTTAGGTCCAGGCATGTAACTCATCTCCTTCCCCAAGCATATGGCAAGAGCCTGCTCAAAGTCTTCCTTAGTTGTGTACATTGATGATCCACAATGATCCATTTGACTCATAGGATCATTCACAGCAGGACTTGAAGGCCACACCTCATCACAAAGCAAGCTTTCCATATATATCACCAAGTTCTGAAAAACTAGAAGCTACCCCACTCTAGAAATTGTACAATTGTTTCAAACTTTGCTACTTGTACCATCAAATTGTGAATTCAATAATAAGGGGAGGTATCTTTTTTGTACTTTGAGTGATGAGGAAGAGAAAACGAAAGCAAACATGGTTGGAGGGTGAAATGAGGGAAGTTATATAAGAGCTGGTGGGTGGTTAGAGAGAGAGAGAGAGAAATAAAAAGAGGGCCACGTCCCTCATGAAATGGGGTAAATGCAGTGCGAGTGGGTATAGATTTTGGCTGTATTTTATTATTATTATTATTTTTTTTATTATTTTTCAAATATATATATTTTTTACTGTGGTTACGAATTGCGTGAGCTCATGCACGAGGATGTCTCTGTGGACTGCATTGAGGAATAAATGTCCTCATCATCATCGCATCAATGTAGTAAAAGGAGGTAAAAAGCTAAGGTTGTGTTATGTGGGGTTTGGTTGGCACTGGAACTTGAAAATGATAGACTCTCAAAGTGGGCCCTGCTTTTGGCTGATAAAGCTGTACAAGTTGAGTGTTGTGGGTCCCACGGCCGTGATCGTCTTCAACGCCTGATCATGAGGGCTTGGTGATTGCCCAATTTTCATCAGTTCTGTTGGGACAAATTGTTCTAGTTTGTGTTGAATCTCCACCAAGAAAAACTGTCATTGAATGGCTTGGATGTTCATCCTTGAAGCTTGGACAGTTGGATTGGGGACCACAACTTCTATTTCATGGGTTTGGTTGGTATTTACCCAATTGGGCCTTCGTTGAAATTATGAAACTACAGGCATGTTTACGTATCAGTAATGGGTATGAGAGGAAAGGGAATGATTTCCATTCCTAACTTCCCCTGCGTTTACTTGCAATCAAAAATGAAAAAATAAGTGGGCTCCACCTCAAAATCCGTAATCACATCCCCTCAAAACTAGGTATCAGATCAACTAGGGGGTAGTAGTCGATACAATTCTCATTCCTGTTTTCTCTTAGTAACTTCCAAAAATACCCTTACCACTTTACCATAATTCCAAAACACCCACACAAAAAAAAAAAAAAAACTCACGGCAAGAAGTTCCAACTTCTTTTTCACGTTAGCGTCACAAACACAACCTCCCAGAAGCTCCAACAACGCCTTGTGCTATGTAAGTCATTCTATCTATCTATCTTCTTCTATCTTCTGTCTTCACATTCATCACAAAACAAAGTACAGTCCTGGATAAAGACTTTTGTGGAGATTAAATATGTTTTTTTTTTGGTAGTATGAAGATTATGCAGGTTATTATTATTTTATTGTTTACTAGTTACGTAGGTGAAAGATATATATTTATTGGAGTTTATTTTTTCGTTTGAAATTGGCTCTGGACAAAGGTGTTATTAACATTATCATTGAATTGGGCTCTTGTTGTTTATCCTGTTTAGCATATTAATTCCTCATGTTATACACCGCCTTACTGGTTTGCTGCAGGATTAGTTTGGTCTCCTTTGCCAATTTGAGAATTATATATGTGCTATGGTGAAAATATACAGGGCATTTTAGTAATCAAATTAATTTGGATTCTGATTTATGAAAATTAGTAAACAATAACAATGGGAATCACCCTCATTCCTTTGCTAATTCCATATGTTTAGTAAACAGCTTAATGAGAATGATTCTTCCCATATCGATTCAATAGTTCCCCAATTCCTGAATTCTCTTATTCCTTACTTTCTCCATTACTGATACGTAAACATGCCCTACATGTATATGTAATTGAAAATCTAGGGTAAGAGTTAGAATACAAGAATCATATAGAACCAAAGTTTGGATCTTTTTGCTAGTGATCACAATAATAAATTCAACTTCTGAATTGAAAGTTTGGCTAAACATGCGTTGATTTCATATCACCCCCAAGTCAATAAGAAACGGTAATTACCAGATAAAAGTAGCTAAGGGATATTCTACAATGCTTGTACAACAAATTTCCCAAGTTGTCCAATTTCTGGTAGTATACATAGGTACATTCAACTCTATCGCAGCTCGTATGATGAAAAGCTGAAACCTTGTCTTCCCTCGTTAGTGGATTTCAGCTCAAGCTTCTGAAATGGGCTGCAGGTTGGTTCAAGTAATCTTTTATCAATCACTTTGTTGCAATGTAAGTGAAAAAAATAAAACACAAGACAATGCATGATAAGGAAGTAAGTATACGATGGAAAAAATAAGGGAAACAGCGAGTATACCTGCTGTTAGGATCATAATAGAAACCATTGATGGAGCCATCACTACAAGAGAAACAGACATAGTAAAAGCCAGCTATAGTCAGCCCACAGTCTGTGCCAACATTCACAAAGTATTGCTCTTTCCATCTCTGCACCAGGAAGTCAAAAAACTTATCAACGTTTCATTTGACATTTAAGAAGTAATTTTACCAATGAATAATAAAGCAATTAGGTCAGTTACCATGAATATGTATTGACAGTTACTCAGATCTAATGATTTTCCGCCATCAACTTCCACATGGCTCTGTAAATAATGGAATTAAATAGGATATAATACAAGTCTCCCATATGACAGAAGATTAAGACTCATTACCTGTAGAGCCGAAAAAGAAGGAAACTTGGTCCAGTGCCTTATATCATCCTCTGGTCTGTAAAGAGTCACACACATTAGCATTAACTAATTAGGCTCCATGCTTAAGTATAGGTTAAAAGAACAAAAGAAACATACGTTGCTTCCCATTTTCCAGTGAAGAAAGTATAATTCTTGGTGTCAACGATCTCTCCTTCCCAAAAGGTAACTACCTAACATACATTTAAGAAAAACAAAGTAAATACTCAGTGAAGGTTACCAAAATATCCAAATAAGGGGGTGTCAGCTGTCTGCAATGAAATACGATCAATATGCAAGGGTAATCTTTTTGCATCCTAATCATGCTATTAAACCCCTAATTCGTGTATCGTATGAGAGACATGATAATCCGTGAATATCACACTGATATTGACTACGGACTATAGACTATCACAGCAGTATGAAAATCGGAAATGCCGAAATGTGATATGAAAATGGTTAAAATAAATGCCTTTCCAGACCACTATGTCAATAAATGTTGTAAAAGAACAGTTCCGAAAAGACTCAGTTGTTCCTTCACTCTTTTATTTGTTAATACATTTAAGAGAAATTCTTAACCTTAATGCCAATCCTCACATGGTGACAGATGACCAACCGAAGAAAAGCAGAAACTTCTTACCGGTGTGTCTGCCATAGGAACATTAAGGGCTTCCATGGTTCCACATAGATAACCATGTTCAAGGTCACAGCCCTGTATACGAACATTAACTCTCCAAGCTTCGTCCTTTTGCATGCTAGACACATTCTGAGTGCCGGAGAAGGCCTGCCACAGAATTATGACCTTAATGCGACAATGTCATACCAGTGGTACACATTTATACTTCCAAATGTCATTTCTTATGCTCAATATGTCATACCAGTGGTACACATTTATACTTCCAAATGTCATTTCTTATGCTCAATATGTCATACCAGTGGTACACATTTATACTTCCAAATGTCATTTCTTATGCTCAATATGTCATACCAGTGGTACACATTTATACTTCCAAATGTCATTTCTTATGCTCAATATGTCATACCAGTGGTACACATTTATACTTCCAAATGTCATTTCTTATGCTCAATATGTCATACCAGTGGTACACATTTATACTTCCAAATGTCATTTCTTATGCTCAATATGTCATACCAGTGGTACACATTTATACTTCCAAATGTCATTTCTTATGCTCAATATGTCATACCAGTGGTACACATTTATACTTCCAAATGTCATTTCTTATGCTCAATATGTCATACCAGTGGTACACATTTATACTTACAGAATTATGACCTTAATGCGACAATGTCATACCAGTGGTACACATTTATACTTCCAAATGTCATTTCTTATGCTCAATATGTCATACCAGTGGTACACATTTATACTTCCAAATGTCATTTTTTATGCTCAATAAGTCAATACAGATAGGCAATTCTTAAATTTCAATTCCAGAAATATATTAACCAGCAAAACAATCACAAAAGGGACAGGGGCAAAGAGAAACCTGTCCAACGCTTAAAAGTGAGCAAGCTGAGGGAGAGGTCTGTCCACAATTTGAACCTTCACAGTAATATGTAAAATAGAATTCAAAAATCATATTTTTATGATAAAAATGGTGAGTCAAAATAATTGGAAGCAAAAAAACACAGAAAAGCTAGCGTCTTTGAGAGAATTCAATCCTACAACATATACCAAACAATCCAGATTTCGGCCAAAACCCTAACCCTAGGAAATGGGCAAAGCGATGTTCAGAAAGATAGAAGGAGCGATAGAGAAGTACCTGAAGGTTGAGAAGGGGCGGAGCTCTCTGCCACTCTCACCGGCATTTCCAAATTTCACTCAATCGAAAACGGAGTAAGCGACTCAGATCAGATGCTACGCCAAATCCAAGACACAATCCAGAGTCCGAACCAGTCTGAATGAACCCGACCCGTTACCGCCTCTTAAAATGGTTCCTTTCTTTTCTCTTTTCTTTTTTTCCTCCAGAATCTTTTCAACTAAAATTCATTTCTCTACTTACTAATGCATATTAGAAGTCAACGTACTTTAACTTTGGTTTTTTTTTTTTTTTTTGTTGGGGTTGAGAAATACTTAACTTTGGTTTTTGAGGTTCCATCTAAATTTGTTTATATAAAAACTTAACATATAAATATTAAGTTATTTGTAAACATGGCTTAGGGGAGTTTGCTAGAGCAGATATATTCCCTACTCTACACTCGAGTTCGAATCCCCCTCCCGTAGTTTAGATTAGTTTAAAATAGAATATAACTTGTATAAAAAAAAAATTAATTAATGTCAAAAGCAAAGATAATAAAAACACATTTCATACAAATTTTGAACATGGTCACTACTTGAACCAAAATTCAATAATTGTAAACATTTCATTGAAAAGGACTTACTTTTTACCTTTGGTTACCACTTGAAAAGTTTTATTGGTTATTTCCGTTCTAGATTCAAATACAAGTTGTTGACATGTGCACTGGACTGTGGTGGCTTGCAGCTTTCTCGCTCAAGAATGTGATGGACGCACAAACATAGACAGCTCAAGTATACGGAAAAAAAAAAAAAGTATACTTATAAGCTAACACTTTCTCCATTTTTTGTTTTCCTGATTCTGTTGTGAAAAGGTTTCACTCGTTTGGCAGTGGCACAACGATTTTGAGTACAATATAATGATTTTTTTCATAATTTCATTTTTGACAGAGACCTTACATACAAACTGTTTTCCACTTCACATCGCTTTTCTATGGGAAAAGAAAACTACAAAGAGGTGACATTCAAAGCTGCATATGCATGCGTTGCGTTTGAATCCCAGTTTTCCAAAGAATCCTACTTGCTTGGTGTCAGCGACCACCAGAGAGGAGCGTCGGCTCTGGAACATATAATGACTGTGTGTATCCCCCGCCATTTGCAAAATCATCAAAACCTTCTTTGTGAGAAAATGCTAAGCCAGTGGCAGAAGCACCAAGTGACAACTCTGGCAAAAGAGTATGATCACCCTCCAAATACTGCACAACTTGGCGCATCCTTGGCCTAGCTGTTGGCTCTGTATGGGAGCACAACAGCCCAAGCTTCTGTTGTGCGCAGCGGAAGCGGATTGCACTGTGGTGGTTGATATGAAACCATTGAAACAACAAGAGCAAACTATGAAATACAGAAATCCAAACGACACAAGGATTTATACTGGTTCGGCCCGTGTGTAGCCTACATCCAGTTCGAAGACAGCGAGAAATTCCACTAGTATCCCAAAAGAGATTACAAACAAATGAGATTAAACACTCTCACCTATCCTAGGAATTATAGAGTTTAACTCTCACAACCCAAATCCCAAATACACCCAAGTCACACTCTCACAATAATTGAAAAGAAAGAACAATTTTTCTCTTCTTCTCACACTTGGTTGTGATGCTACAAATGAAACCATTTGCTTCCAATTTATAGCCAAAGATGCAAGAGTGTGAATGCAAGCTTCAACTATTCATATGTTGGCTACCAAACTCAACAATGGATGGCTACCAAACTAGCCACACATTTTGACCTCATAGCAAGCCAACATTTACTCACATGGGCAACTCCAATGGCAAACCAATATTGACCCACATGCCAAATTTGAGCCAATTTCAACAGCTTCAACACCAACTCCACCTCCTCAGCTATAAATTCTTTGCCCAACTTTCGATCTGTTGCCACAAGAATATTACCTCTATTCCAACAAGAAAAAACCCAATCAACCAAAATTGAAACGTCTGAACCCTGTGCCTCTATTGGCCTTCTTCCACAAGCAACTTCAAGCAGAAATACCCCAAAAGCAAACACATCAGTGCTCGTTGTGGCGCGGCCTGATCTTGTATGCTCAGGAGCTAGATACCCAAGTGTTCCTGCTATATGAGTAGTTTGAGGGTCTCCGCCGTGGTCATAAAGTCTTGCAAGCCCAAAATCCCCCAGTCTTCCATTCCATTCCCCATCTAGTAATACATTACTGGCCTTCACATCTCTGTGAACCACAACTTGATCCCATTCTTCATGCAGATAAAGCAATCCTGAAGCAACACCTTTGATGACTCTGAACCTCTGGCTCCAATCAAGAGTAATAGCCGGCTGGCCATATAGGTACTTGTCCAGGCTTCCGTTAGGCATGTACTCATAGACCAAAAGTAGCTCCCCCTTTCTTCTGCAGTAGCCCAAGAGTGGGACTAAATTTCTGTGACGAAGCCGGCCATTGCTGACAATTTCTGCAACAAACTCCTTCATCCCTTGTCTTGAGTCATGTGAGATCCTCTTCACGGCAATTTCAATTTTTGAGGAGGGTAATATACCTCTGTAAACCTTACCAAATCCACCCTTTCCCAAAAGCTCTTTTTCCCTAAACCCTTTTGTGGCAATATACAACTCTTTGTATTTAAACCTTTGAGGCCCATACTCTAGCTCCCAGTCTTCAAGGAGTTCTGCAAACTTCTTTTTTCTGATGGCATAGTTTACACCGGTAAGAAATAATACCAGAACAATACTCACAAATATCACAGGCAGGGCAATAGTCAAAAGTTTATATATTTTGTCAGCTCCTATTCGAGGCAGCTTGGGAAGTTGTGAGAGCTCTTGAGCCTTGCCATTCATCTTAAAGCTCCAGCCCAAAACATAATGAGATGTTAAGATTGAGCCGGTGGACGAGGAGAAGCCCACATACATGGCTTCGTTAAGGATCGGAGAAAGGTCTCGCATATAAGAAATAAGTGGAATATTGGGTTTACCTTCACTAATTGGAGCCAAACTGACCTTGATTTGCTTCTCGGTACCATTATAGTCCACCCAAACTTTCATTGCCTGACCGTTGACAAGCATTGTCTTGTTCGAAGCAAAATATCCTGCTGGAGCAGATATCTCAGAGTTCAAACCATTAATATCGATTCCGACATGGTCGTCATTCATGTCATGGAACTCTCTGCTCTGGACGGTGTCGATCTCTACAGCAAAAACATGATTGGTGGCATTGCCGTTGTTGGTCTCATTGAAAAGGCCAAGGTACTGACTTGAAAGAGCTCCGGGAAGGCCTCTTGTTGGAGCAACAACAAAAGCCATGCCATGGGCACTCAGAACTGCATATTCTGATCTAATAGCGCAGACAAAAGTGGTAGAGAAGGAGAAAACTGTGCCATTAGATGAGTTCTTGAAGGTTACTGGGTGGGGATAGAAGGCATGACCCTGGTTCTGTTTAGTGTCGTTTGTAAGCCTCAAAAGACCATTGGGTGTGACTCCTGCTATGCCGTCTAGGCTAAGATCATCAGAGCGGAAACCATTGTAGGTGAAACTGAGATCTTCTGCTGCTGCTAAGCTTACCAGTATGAATATTACAAGCTTGGAAAACATGGCTAATCTTGATTCTCAGCCAAGGCCTTTCTGAACTTTTAACATATCCTTCATTGCAAGTCTTTGCATCAATTCAACAAATAATAGTCACCAAAGAAAAGTCAATGTAGCGGACATTGTCACAAATTTACAATAAAAAAATAGAGAGTAACAGAATCATATGGGTGGAAAATTCTTCCATACTAGTCCAAAATCTGCATTCAATTTCCCTTCTAGAAATACATTACTGACCTTTGACATCTCTGTGAACCACATCTTTGTCAATTTCCCTTTTTCATGCATAATGCAGATAAAACAACCCTGAAGCCACCCCTCTGCGGCTTGGTGATTGTCAACATCTCAACTGATACATCTATTACAATTTTATACCTACAAAATATTCTTATTTAAAGATAAGATAATCTCGAAGATTCTTTTTCATGGCCTTGGTTGGTGCTTACCCAATTGGGCCTTTGTTGAAATTATGAAACTACATGTATATGTAATTGAAAATCTAGGGAAAAAGTTGGAATCCAAGAATCATATAGAACTAAAGTTTGGATCTTTTTGCTAGTGATCACAATAATAAATTCAACTTCTGAACGGAAAGTTTGGCTAAACATCCCCCAAGTCAATAAGAAATGGTAATTACCAGATAAAAGTAGCTAAGGGATATTCTACAATCCTTGTACAACAAATTGACCCAAGTTGTCCAAATTCCTAGTCGGATACAGAGGCATAATCTATTCTATCACAGCTCGTATGATGAAAAGCTGAAACCTTGTCCTCCCTCATTAGTGGATTTCAACTCAAGCTTCTGAAATGGGCTGCAGAACCTTTTTTTTTTAAGATAACCTTGACGGTACGAGCGAGAGGGGACATAACAAAGACAAACAGTAAAAAATGGAGATCCCGGAAGACGAAGGAAATCCCAACAAAAAGGCTGGTGATCCACATCAATATTTATCTAAACTCTTCTTTTCTTATAAAAATGATTGGCCACTCATCAGATGAGGGTAAATAGGAAATTACAGCGGTTTACTTGGCTAATGGTACTTTATTAATGTACTTGTTACATATACCAATCAGTAGACAAACCACAAACATATATTACATGAACAACCTTATAAGCACTGCAGTACAGATTCTTTTGCCCCCTTAATTCATATCAAAGTTAACAACAATAATAAATACTAGAGTGCATTGGCTATGAGTTCTAAGATAATCCTAATTCTTGGAGTCAACGACCACCTGAGAGAACTGCCGACTTAACATATGAAAGCCCCTTGACTGAAGATGAGGGATATGATTGCCCAAAATCATCAAAACCTTCTTGGGGCGCAAAAGTCAAGCCACTGTAAGAGAGCCCAAGAAGTGAGAGCTCTGGCAAGGCAATGTCACTCTCCAAATACTGAACAACTTGGCGCATGCTTGGCCTAGCTGAAGGCTCTGAATGAGAGCACAACAGCCCAAGCTTCAACACCAATTCCACTTCCTCAGATATAATTTCTGGGCCCAACTTTCGATCTCTTGCCTCAAGAATATTACCTTTCTTCCAACAAGAAAACACCCAATCAACCAATATCACACCCTGAAGTGGACCTTGTGTCTCTATTGGCCTTCTTCCACAGACAACTTCAAGCAAAAATGCCCCAAAAGAAAACACATCAGTGTTCGTTGTGGCCTTGCCGGATCTTGCCAGCTCGGGATCAAGGTACCCGAGTGTTCCAACTATATGAGTAGTTTGAGGGTCTGTGCCATGGTCGTATAATCTTGCAAGGCCAAAGTCTCCTAGTCTTCCATTCAACTCCCTATCTAGTAATACATTACTTGCCTTGACATCCCTGTGAACCACAACTTGTTCCCATTCTTCATGAAGATAAAACAACCCTGAAGCGACACCTCTAATGACTTTAAACCTCTGGCCCCAATTGAGAGTGGCTGTTGGTTGGTTATAGAGGTACTTATCCAGGCTTCCATTAGGCATGTAGTCATAGACCAAGAGCAGCTCTCCTTTTCTTCTGCAATAGCCCAAGAGTGGTACTAAATTCCTATGACGAAGCCTGCCGATGCTGACAATTTCTGCCACAAATTCCTTCATCCCCTGTCTTGATTCATGTGAGATCCTCTTCACAGCAATCTCAGTTTTAGAGGTGGGTAATATGCCTTTATAGACCTTACCAAATCCCCCTCTTCCCAGAAGTTCCTTTTCCCTAAACCCTATGGTGGCAATATATAATTCTTTGTACCTAAACCTCTGAGGCCCATACTCAAGCTCCCAATCTTCAAGCAGCTCTGCAAACTTCCTCTTCCTTCTTATGGCATAAATTACACCAGAAATTGCTAGCAAAACCAAACTCACAAATATCACAGGAACACCAATGGTTAAGAGTTTAGATATTTTTTTACCTCCTACCCGGGGCAGCTTGGGAAGTTGTGAGAGAACAAGTTCTTGAGCCTGGCCATTCATCTTAAAGCTCCAGCCCAAAATATAATGAGATGTGGGAACTGTGGCAGTGGAGGAGGAGAAGCCAACGTACATGGTTTTGTTAAGGATTGGGGCAAGGTCATAGTTTAAAGAAATAAGTGGAGCAAGAGGTTTATCAACATTGATTGGAGCCAAAGTGACATTGATTTGTTTATTGGTACCATCATATTCCACCCAAAGTTGCATTGGTTTACCACTGTTGAGGGTCAAGTTCCGTAACCCGCCATTCTTTTTAGCATAGTATGCTGCACTAGCAGAGTCCGTCGAGTTCAAACTATTAATATCAATCCCAACATGGTTGTTATCGATGTCATTGAACGCGGTGGACTGTGCAGTGTCAAGCTCTACAGCAAAAACATGATTGGTGGGATTGCCATTGTTGGTCAAGTTGAAAAGGCCTAGGAAAGGGCTGTGAAAACCTCCAGGAAGCCCTCTTTTCGGAGCAATGACAAAGGCGATTCCATGGCCACCCTGAGTTGCAGATACTGACCTGATAGCAAATACAAAAGTGGTAGAAAAGGAGATAACATTGGAATTGGAATATGAGTTCTTGAAGGTAACTGGGTTGGGGTAGAAGGCATGGCCCATTTGCTCTTCAGTGTCATTCGTCACCCTCAAAAGACCATTCGGTGTGAATTGGGCACCGCCGTCAAGGCTAAGATTAGCAGACTGGAAACCATTGTAGGTGAAGTTAACATCTTCAGCTGCTGCAAGGCTTGCAAGTGCGAGTATTAGAAGCTTGAAAAACATGGCTATCATTCTTAACTCTAAGTTGTGAGAGAGCAAGTTCTTGAGCCTGGCCATTCATCTTAAAACTCCAGCCCAAAACATAATGAGACGTGGGAAGTGAGCCAGTGGAGGAGGAGAAGCCAACGTACATGGTTTTGTTAAGGATTGAGGAAAGGTCATAGTTTAAAGAAATAAGCGGAGCATGGGGTTTATCAACATTGATTGGAGCCAAAGTGACATTGATTTGCTTCTTGGTACCATCATAGTCTACCCAAACTTGCATTGGTTGACCACTGACGAGGGTCAAGTTCCGTAACCCGCCATTCTTTTTAGCATAGTATGCTGCACTAGCAGAGTCCTCCGAGTTCAAACCATTAATATCAATCCCAACATGGTTGTTATCGATGTCATTGAACCCTTCGGTCCATACAGTGTCAAGCTCTACAGCAAAAACATGATTGGTGGTATTCCCATTGTTAGCCAGGTTGAAAAGGCCTAGGAAACGGCCGTTTAGAGCTCCAGGAAGCCCTCTTTGCGGAGCAATGACAAAGGCGAGTCCATGGCCACCCCGAGCTCCAAGTGGGGACCTAATAGCAAAGACAAAAGTGGTAGAAAATGAGAAAGCATTGGAATTGGAATATGAGTTCTTGAAGGTTACCGGGTTGGGGTAGAAGGCATGGCCAATTTGCCATTCAGTATCATTCGTTAGCACTAAAATACCATTGGGTGTGAATTGGGCAATGCCGTCTACGCTAAGATCAGCAGATCGGAAACCATTGTAGGTGAAACTGACATCTTCAGCTGCTGCTAGGCTTACAAGTGTGAGTATCATCAGAAGCTTGAAAAACAAGGCTATCATTCTTAATTCTCTCTAACGCCTCTGGAAACTTTATTTTCACATACTTCAGTTGAAGTCTTATAACGAATACCATATGCATCAAGTCATCACCTGTAACCACCAAATTAAAGCCAAAACCAATGCAAGTGAGGTGACCCTTCATTGTCACACTAATTAAATATGTTGTCACCGTGTACCAATAAAAAACAGCAATCCAGACTGTCAAGTGCCTGCCGCCATACGCAACTTTTCAGCCCATACTGATTCAGACTGTATAGTGCTTGGATGGTCCAACCTCCAGCCCTGAGAAAATTTATTCTTCCATGCAATGAACGCACAAGACAAGACCCTACTTTTACAATCACTCACACTCGTCTCCCACTAGTGTTATGATCAATTCTATAGATACAATGGTACAAGACTCTCCGACCCCATATCTTAATCACTCACTGTTATGACCAAAAAGGAGTAAACAAGTGTCCCGAGATCAATTCCATGCCAGCTAAATGTGGGGTTACCATGGCACGTTTGCTTCACTTATTAAAGTAAAAAGAACAAAAAAAACAAAAACCCTTCTCTCAAATTCTTCATGCCGCAAAATGCCAAATTTATTTTTATAAAGTGATTATATACCGAAACAAAAGCAAACAAGTTTGCAATTTCCATGCAGATTGCCACAATCATCAACTAGTGCTACAATATTGGCAGTCGATATATATAATGTAAATTCAAATTTCAAAAAGACAATAAAGAAAACTTGACAATTACAAACGCACAAAGGGCACAGGGACAGAGAGAAACCTCTGGCCAGTCCAATGCTTCAAAGTGTACTTAGCTTGGGGAGAGATCTGTCGTTTCCACGACTAAATTTTGAACCTTCGCAGTGATGTACATGTACTTGGTTTAAGGCGACGGAGCCAAAATAGTTGGAGGCAAAAACACAGAAAAGCTAGCGTCTAGAAGGTTCAAGAATTCAATCCTGCTCCTACAACAACGTCATGTACCAAATAGAAATGGAGGTTTCTGCCAAAACCCATTCTCTAGAAAATGGAATTGCAAACGCACACAGGTTACAGGGACAGAGAGAAACTGTGGCCAGTCCAATGCTTATATATCTATGACAATTTTATACCAACAATATTGAACGTTTTTATGAAAGAAATATGGAAATTTATTCAATATTGGAAAAAGAGGTATACCAAGCCAGAGGGACATAAAAAAGACAGACATTAAGAAACCAAAAGCCGGGAAGACCAGAAAAATACAGTGAAAAGGCTGGTGATCCACATGAATAACTGTTGTTTTCATATAAAATTGATAAACCAATCATCAGATGAGGGTAAATAGGATATTACAGTGTTGGCAAATGGCACTTTATTAATGCACCATAAACATAAATTACAAGCTAACAAGTAACAAGCACTGCGGTACAGATTGTTTTGCCCCCTTAATTTATATTAAAGTAAACAAAAATAAAAAAGTACTAGAGCTAACAATCAAAGCGCATTAGCTATGAATTCCAGTTTCCAAGAGAATCCTAATTCTTGTTGTCAACGACCACCTGAGAGAACTGCCGACTCAACATTTGAAACCCCCTTGACTGAAGAAGAGGGATATGACTGCGCAAAATCATCAAAACCTTCATGGGGCGCAAAAGTCAAGCCACTGGAAGAGAGCCCAAGAAGTGAGAGCTCTGGCAAAGCAATGTCACTCTCCAAATACTGAACAATTTGGCGCATGCTTGGCCTACCTGAAGGCTCTGAATGAGAGCACAACAGCCCAAGCTTCAACACCAATTCCACTTCCTCAGATATAATTTCTGTGCCCAACTTTCGATCTCTTGCCTCAAGAATATTACCTCTCTTCCAACAAGAAAACACCCAATCAACCAATACAACATCCTGAAGTGGACCTTTTATCTCTATTGGCCTTCTTCCACAGGCAACTTCAAGCACAAATGCCCCGAAAGAAAACACATCAGTGCTCGTTGTGGCCCTGCCGAATCTTGTATGCTCCGGAGCAAGGTACCCGAGTGTTCCAACTATATGAGTAGTTTGAGGGTCTGTGCCATGGTCGTATAATCTTGCAAGGCCAAAGTCTCCTAGTCTTCCATTCAACTCCCTATCTAGTAATACATTACTTGCCTTGACATCCCTGTGAACCACAACTTGTTCCCATTCTTCATGAAGATAAAACAACCCTGAAGCTACACCTCGAATGACTTTAAACCTCTGGCTCCAATTGAGAGTGGCCATTGGTTGGTCATAGAGGTACTTGTCTAGGCTTCCATTAGGCATGTAGTCATAGACCAAGAATAGCTCCCTTTTTCTTCTGCAATAGCCCAAGAGTGGTACCAAATTCCGGTGACGAAGCCTGCCAATGCTGACAATTTCTGCCACAAATTCCCTCATCCCCTGTCTTGATTCATGTGAGATCCTCTTCACAGCAATCTCAGTTTTAGAGGTGGGCAATATGCCCTTATAGACCTTACCAAATCCCCCACGTCCCAGAAGTTCTTTTTCCCTAAACCCTTTGGTGGCAATATATAATTCTTTGTATTTAAATCTCTGAGGCCCATACTCAAGCTCCCAATCTTCAAGCAGCTCTGCAAACTTCTTCTTTCTTATGGCATAGATAGCACCCAAAATTGCTGGAAAAACCAAACTCACAAATATCACAGGCACACCAATGGTTAAGAGTTTAGATATTTTTTTACCTCCTATCCGAGGCAGCTTGGGAAGTTGTGAGAGAGCAAGTTCTTGAGCCTGGCCATTCATCTTAAAACTCCAGCCCAAAACATAATGAGACGTGGGAAGTGAGCCAGTGGAGGAGGAGAAGCCAACGTACATGGTTTTGTTAAGGATTGAGGAAAGGTCATAGTTTAAAGAAATAAGCGGAGCATGGGGTTTATCAACATTGATTGGAGCCAAAGTGACATTGATTTGCTTCTTGGTACCATCATAGTCTACCCAAACTTGCATTGGTTGACCACTGACGAGGGTCAAGTTCCGTAACCCGCCATTCTTTTTAGCATAGTATGCTGCACTAGCAGAGTCCTCCGAGTTCAAACCATTAATATCAATCCCAACATGGTTGTTATCGATGTCATTGAACCCTTCGGTTCATACAGTGTCAAGCTCTACAGCAAAAACATGATTGGTGGTATTCCCATTGTTAGCCAGGTTGAAAAGGCCTAGGAAACGGCCGTTTAGAGCTCCAGGAAGCCCTCTTTGCGGAGCAATGACAAAGGCGAGTCCATGGCCACCCCGAGTTCCAAGTGGGGACCTAATAGCAAAGACAAAAGTGGTAGAAAATGAGAAAGCATTGGAATTGGAATATGAGTTCTTGAAGGTTACTGGGTTGGGGTAGAAGGCATGGCCAATTTGCCATTCAGTATCATTCGTTAGCACTAAAATACCTTTGGGTGTGAATTGGGCAATGCCGTCTACGCTAAGATCAGCAGATCGGAAACCATTGTAGGTGAAACTGACATCTTCAGCTGCTGCTAGGCTTACAAGTGTGAGTATCATCAGAAGCTTGAAAAACAAGGCTATCATTCTTAATTCTCTCTAACGCCTCTGGAAACTTTATTTTCACATACTTCAGTTGAAGTCTTATAACGAATACCATATGCATCAAGTCATCACCTGTAACCACCAAAATAAAGCAAAAACCAATGCAGGTGAGGTGACCCTTCATTGTCACACTAATTAAATATGTTGTCACCGTGTACCAATAAAAAACAGCAATCCAGACTGTCAAGTGCCTGCCGCCATACGCAACTTTTCAGCTCATACTGATTCAGACTGTATAGTGCTTGGATGGTCCAACCTCCAGCCCTGAGAAAATTTATTCTTCCATGCAATGTACGCACAAGACAAGACCCTACTTTTACAATCACTCACACTCGTCTCCCACTAGTGTCATGATCAATTCTATAGATACAAAGGTACAAGACTCTCCGACCCCATATCTTATCACTCACTGTTATGACCAAAAAGGAGTAAACAAGTGTCCCGAGATCAATTCCATGCCAGCTAAATGTGGGGTTACCATGGCACGTTTGCTTCACTTATTAAAGTAAAAAGAACAAAAAAAACAAAAACCCTTCTCTCAAATTCTTCATGCCGCAAAATGCCAAATTTATTTTTATAAAGTGATTATATACCGAAACAAAAGCAAACAAGTTTGCAATTTCCATGCAGATTGCCACAATCATCAACTAGTGCTACAATATTGGCACACCAGTAAGTCGATATATATAATGTAAATTCAAATTTCACAAAGACATTAAAGAAAAATTGACAATTACAAACGCACAAAGGGCACAGGGACGGAGAGAAACCTGTGGCCAGTCCAATGCTTCAAAGTGTACTTAGCTGGGGGAGAGGTCTGTCGTTTCCACGAATAAATTTTGAACCTTCACAGTGATGCAAATGTACTTGGTTTAAGGCGACGGAGCCAAAATAGTTGGAGCCAAAAACACAGAAAAGCTTGCGTCTAGAAGGTTCAAGAATTCAATCCTGCTCCTACAACAACGCGATGTACCAAATAGAAATGGAGGTTTCTGCCAAAACCCATTCTCTAGAAAATGGCCAGAGATCTGTTTTGACATCGGACGACGGTGAAGGACCTGAAAGTTGAGAACTTGAGGAGGTCTGCGGAGCTCTCCGCCACACTCATCCAGTAATTACTAGTCCAAGATTCGGCCCGCATTCCGGACCCAACCGACTGCCGCCTCTTAAAATTGCTCCTTTTTCCCGTTCTAATTTTTTACTATTTATTAAGATTNNNNGCTTCCATTAGGCATGTAGTCATAGACCAAGAGCAGCTCCCCTTTTCTTCTGCAATATCCCAACAGTGGTACTAAATTTCGGTGACGAAGTCTGCCAATGCTAATAATTTCTGCAACAAACTCCTTCATCCCCTGTCTTGATTCATGTGAGACCCTCTTCACTGCAATCTCAGTTTTGGAGGAAGGTAATATGCCTTTATAGACCTTACCAAATCCCCCACTTCCCAAAAGCTCCTTCTCCCTAAACCCTTTTGTTGCCATATATAACTCTTTGTATTTAAACCTTTGAGGCCCATACTCAAGCTCCCAATCTTCAAGCAGCTCTGCAAACTTCTTCTTCCTTCTTATGGCATAAATTAAACTTGAAATTGCTAGCAAAACCAAACTCACAGACATCACAGGCACACCAACGGTCAAAAAATTAGATATTTTTTTACGTCCTATCCGGGGCAGCTTAGGAAGTTGTGAGAGAACAAGTTCTAGAGCCTGGCCATTCATCTCAAAGCTCCATCCTAGAACATAATGAGATGTGACGAGTGCACCAGCAGTAGAGGAGAAGCCAACATACATGGTCGTGTTAAGGACCGTGGACAGGTCATACTTCAAAGACAAGAGTGGAATATGGGGTTTATCAACATTGATTGGACCCAAAGTGACATTGATTTGCTTCTGGATACCATCATACTCCACCCAAACTTGCATTGGTTGACCACTGTTGAGGGTCAAGTTTCGGAAACCGCCATTGTATAGAGCATGATATCCCGCTGGAGTTGAGTTCACTGAGTCCAAATCATTGATATCGATCCCAACATGGTTGTCGTTGATGTCGCCAAACTCGGGGTTCTGTACGGCATCAAGCTCTACAGCAAAAATATGGTTGGTGGGTTTGCCGTTGTTGGTTTCATTGAAAACGCCCAGGTACTGGTTTATAAAACCTCCGGGGAGTCCTCTTGTCGGAGCAATGACAAAGGCAATTCCATGGCCACCCAAAAATGGTCCCAATCTGGATCTGATTGCGAACACAAAAGTGGTAGAGAAGGAGAAAGCGGTAGCATTGGATGAGTTCTTGAAGGTTACTGGGTTGGGGTAGAAGGCATGGCCGAGTCCAGTGTCATTTGTAAGCTTCAGAAGGCCATTGGATGTGACTTGGGCTACACCATCTAGGCTAAGATTAGCAGACAGGAAACCATTGTAGGTGAAATTGAGATCTTCAGCTGCTGCTAGGCTTACTAGTATGACTATAACAAGCTTGAAAAACATGGCTATTAATTTCAATTCTCTACCAAAGACTCTGTGAACTTTCAATACATAATTCAGTTTAAGTCTTACCGCAGATATAAATGCATTAAGTCATGGACTATACACACAAAAAACAAAGCAGAAAAATCAATGCAACTGAGATGACATTAGATGCAAAGCACTTCATTGTCGCTCTAACTAAACATGTTGTCTGTTTGTACAAACAACAGCAATCCAGACTGTACATGTCTTCTGCCATAGGTAACTGGTTCAGCTCATATCTATATAGTGACTGGCATGTCCAGCTCGAGGAAAATTAATTGTTCCGTAGAACATACGCACAAGAGACAAGACACTCCTTTTTGCAGTGACTCCATCATCTCTTACTAGTAGTAGGACCAATTCCATGGCTCGGATAAGGCCAGACTACCACACGTTTGCTTCATTTTCAGTGCTAAAAATCCTACTGGTTCGTTGCCTAATTTACCAACTTCTTGTAATGCCTTTATATATTTATTATTAAATTAAACTAAAAGTCTGTCTATGTAAAATTCCCTTCTCTGAATTTCTTCATATAGCAAAATTGAGAATTCAAATTTGTTTTAATGATTATCCACCAAACAAAAGCAAACAAGTTTGAAATTTCCAAGCAGATTGAAAATTCATCAACTTGATGGTACGATGTTGGCATACCAGTGGTACACATATATACTTGTAACTTTGTAAGTCAATATAAATCACATAGATTCCAATTTCACAAATATATGAACAAAATATAACAATTACGGAGAGACAAAGAGCATAGGGACAGAGAGAAACCTGAGTAGCCTGCGTAAAGCTTTAAAGTTTGCAAGCTGGAGGAGAGCTGTGTCGTTTCCGCCAATGATTTGGACCTTCACAATTCATAATTATGCATATTTTTAGTAGGAATTTAAGGCAATGGAGGCAGAAAGAAACACAGAAAAGTTAGCGTCTTGAAGACTGAAGAATTCAATCCTAGTCTTACAATAACATGATGTACCGAATAGAAGTGGAGGCTTCGGCCAAAACCCTAATTCTAGAAAATAGCCAAATCGGTGTTCCTGTGACATTGGCGATGCTGAAGTATCTGAAAGTCGAGAAAGAAAGACAGATCTCCCTGCCACACTCACCCCAAATGGATTCAAATGCTACGCCAAATTGTCAATTCAAGATTCGATTCGATCAAGAGTCCGGACCCGTCTAAATTAATCCGACCCGTTCTCACTTTGTATATTTTTTACTTTTTATTTTGGCTTTTTATCACAAATGGTCCTTGACGTTTACAAAATTATCGCGAATGGTCCTTGAGGTGACACTAATAGTCCTTAACGTTAGGGTTTTTTTTATCACAAATGGTCCATGCCGTTAGAAATTCTGTTAAGTTTATGATGTGGAAGATAAGTGGAGCCCTCATGTCCAATCACATCGTGACATATGGATTGAATAAATAATGAAATATTTTTTTGATGAAAATCCATTAAAAATCCATTTAGCCTCTCTCTCTCCCTTTCCCTCTGCCCTCTCTCCTCCCTGTGCTCTCCCTCTCCCTTTGTTATTTGCTTGCCTCTACAACCCGACCACCCCAAGCCCACTCGCAACCCACCCCTCTCCCTCTGTATATTTTGCAAAATAATCACTTGCACAAGGCAGTTTCACATTTCCTTTTACACAAACATTTATTCAAACAACTTAAAATAATTAAAAACAGAGGGGGAGAGTAGAGGAGGAGAGAAAATACAGAGGGAGAGGGTAGGGGAGTTGGGTGTGAGTTGCGGCTTGCGGGTGGCAGTGTTAAAAAAAAGAAGACCATTAAAAGATCCCAGAGACCATTTTTTCTTGCGGGTGACAGTGGGCAAGAAAAAAACAAAAGGGAATTCCCAGGTTGTGGGTTATGACATATATACAACTATACAAAGATGGAGAAAGATATATGAGTTATATTATTATTTTTACAGAGGGAGAAGTAGAGGACAGGGAGGAGAGAGGGGGCAGAGCGGGAGAGAGATGGAGTAGAGGAAGGGGATGAAAAGTTGCATAAAAAAAAATGGAATTTTCAGTAAAAAAAAATTATTTAATTATTTTTTTTCATCCACATGTCACAATGTGATTGGATATGTGGGCTCTACTTATCTTTCACGTCACACTTAACAGAATTTCTAACGGCAGGGACTATTTGTGATAAAAAAATCCTAATGTTAAGGACTATTAGTGTCACAAAAAAACCTCGAGGACCATTCACGATAATTTCGTAAAAGTCAAGGACCATTTGTGATAAAAAGCCTTTTATTTTTTTGGTGATTAAGGTTAAACGAAGAGTGGAGAAATAACCACAAGGTGTGGTGCAATTGGCAAACTGTCACCTCCTCCAGCTGGCAAGCTACCTAGTGCCTCAATGGCAAGGCTTCAAAACTCGTTAGAAGCACTTTGTAGCCATGAGCAAGCTGAATGAATTAATCCCACCTTAAAGTTTGGGGAAACCTCATGCTATTTATCAAAAAAAAGGAAAAAAACATTTCAATTTATTGAATATGTTTTACTTAAAATCATTAATTCTTTTGATTCTTTTATTTTTCTCTCATTTTCTCCAAGTCATAAAAAATAAAAAATCTAGTCCTAGTCCAAGCGTACACCAAACGCAGGATAAGTGTTATCCAACTTAGACCAAGCCAAGCTAAGACAGTCCCTAAGCATAGTCCATGCCAAGACAGTTCTGTGTACCAAACGAGCCCCTAATGTACAGATTACTTATTTATTTAATTTTCGTTCAAATATTGCTAACGTATTATGGCAAAGTTCAAGCTAGCAGACACGGATGTGGTGCAATACCTTCTCACTATACTCAAAGCTGTATAATTTTTTTTTTTATCTGAACCATGAGGTGGTCCTGGATGGGCCCCAACTATAGGTGGCACCTTTAAGCCTTAACCACAACCCAGACTAATCCTCACTCACACCGGGTCGGCCCGTAAGGGGTAAAGTGTTGGCCAAAGTGGTGACTCCGTACGAGAGCAGGGATCGAACCCCTGACCTCTCTTAAGGAATGAGAGTGCCGAACCACTTACACCAACCACCTTGGTTAAAACTGTATAATTTTTCATAACAGAAAACACATGATTTATAACTCTCAAGATAAAAATATTTCAAAATTCATTTATCATATATACACACATCACAGTAAGCATGGCTCTTGCACCAACGAATTGGCCAAAACATGAACTCATATATAACTATCATGTTATAATCATAAGAAAAACGCAAAATCGTATAAGCATATATATTCCTTCATTAATTCTTTTGATTCTTTTATTTTTCTCTCTTTTTCTCCAAGTCTTTGGAACATATGGACCTCATATTTTGGGACATAATTGTTTTAATCAGACAGAATTTCTATCCAAAGGGTATTGTGAGAATAATTTGAATACGTTACTATCACGAGTATTACCTAACAAAGTTTCAGCTTCTGGGTACCGAAGTGAAGTCATCAGTGCTACATCAAAGTCTAAAGTAGAAAAAGAAAATACTACTATATATGGGTTAGGGCAATGTTGGAATTCCCTTATGAGGAGCGTGTGCTATGCATCATGCAAAACATGTATCACCACAGCAAGCTTCGAAATTCGCAGTCTTTGTCCTTTCGGTCGAGGAGCTATTACATGGATCAAGGTTGCCTTGTAAAATACTCCGATACAAGTTTTCTGGTGTGAGTGACACAAATAACTCGTTTCATGAGATAAATTCTAAATTTGTTGATGATCCCATGTTGATTCAACATAAAGTTCATAATTTGTTAACCTATTTATGTTCTAAAGTTCAACATGAAATGCTTTATATTAATAAGAAGCTACAGATATAACAAAAGATTTCACTTTATGGTGCAATAAATGAACTTTTAAATTATAGTTATAGAAGGAGAGATGAGCGAGTTATTTATGAGAGTTGTTATGTCCGATTTGAATTTCATCACTTTTTCAATGATGTAGTTGTTCCATAAAATGGACTCTTTGAGAATGTTATTTTAAGGGAATGAGTATAAATGACTCGTGTTATGGTATTTGTGGAGTGAGCCAGCAAAAGAGGAGAAGCCAACATACAAGAGTGACATTGATTTGCTTCTGGATACCATCATACTCCACCCAAACTTGCCATTAGAATAGTAATTCAATCATCACAAAGTTAGAATATGAGTCAAGTTGGTATAGTTGTAATGTATTCAAAGACCAATGTATTCATTTTGTTAATTAATAAAATATCTGAGATCAGTAGTTCTAGAACTTTCTTTCTCAGTTGTTTCGACTTTCATCATTTCCAATACCCTATGCATCAAATCATCGAGTATACCCACAAAAAATAAAGCAAAACCCAATGAAGCTGAGCTGACCCTGCATTCTCACACTAATTAAATATGTTGTCTTTGTGTAGAACAAAGAGCGATCCAGACTCTGCGGTGCCTGCTACCTTACGCAACAAGTTCGAAATTTCTATGCAAATTGCATATTAAATTCATGAAATTTCTAAAACAAGCAAGTTTTTCCCTTTCTTTTTCATGATATTGTTGTGCACTTCAATATTCACTCCCTTGGCACGAGTTTGTGTGTATGGAATTAGTACTTTTTGCAGAATTTTATTCTCACCCAACTTACATAAAGATTGTTACAGTATTGATTTTTATATAACAAGTTACAAAACTAATAAGCAGAGTCAACATTCTAGTGTTCTAGACAATCGTAATTGCTTCGAATCAGCGACCACCCGAGAGGAGTGTGGACTCTGCAGCATATGATGAATGTGAAAACCCCTTGCCCAGAGAAGATGAATATGACATTGCAAAATCATCAAAACCTTCATGGTGAGCAAAAGTCAAGCCATTTGAAGAGAGCCCAAGAAGAGAGAGCTCTGGCAAAGCAATGTCACCTTCCAAATACTGCACAACCTGGCGCATGCTTGGCCTGGCTGTAGGCTCTGAATGAGAGCACAACAGCCCAAGCTTCAACACCAACTCCACCTCTTCTGCTACAAATTCGGAACTCAAGTTTTGATCTCTTGCCTCAAGAATGGCACCTCTGTTCCAAAAAGAAAACACCCAATCAACCAAAATCAAATCCTGGTCTGGACCATGTGCCTCTATTGGCCTTCTTCCACAAGCTACTTCAAGCACAAATGCCCCGAAAGCAAACACATCGGTGCTCGTTGTGGCCCGGCCTGATCTTGTATGCTCTGGAGCTAGATACCCAAGTGTTCCGACTATATGAGTAGTTTGAGGGTCTGTTCCATGGTCATATAATCTGGCAAGGCCAAAATCTCCTAGTCTTGCGTTCAATTCAGCATCGAGTAAAACATTGCTGGCCTTCACATCTCTATGAATCACAACTTGTTCCCATCCTTCATGAAGATAGAACAACCCTGAAGCCACACCTCTGATCACTCTAAACCTCTGGCTCCAGTTGAGAGTGACCACAGGCTGGTCATACAGGTACTTGTCCAAGCTTCCATTAGACATGTAGTCATAGACCAAGAGCAGCTCCCCTTTTCTTCTGCAATAGCCCAAGAGTGGGACTAAATTTCGATGGCGAAGCCTGCCAATACTCACAACTTCTGCAATAAATTCCTTCATCCCCTGTCGCGATTCGTGCGATACTCTCTTCACAGCAATCTCAATTTTTGAGGACGGTAATATGCCTCTATAGACTTTACCAAAACCCCCAGCGCCCAAAAGCTCCTTCTCCTTGAACCCTTTTGTGGCAATATATAACTCTTTGTATTTAAACCTTTGAGGCCCATACTCAAGCTCCCAATCTTCAAGTAATTCTGCAAACTTCCTCTTCCTTCTTATGAAATAAATTAAACCTGAAACTACTAGCAAAACCAAACTCACAGATAAAATAGGCACACCAATTGTTAAAAGTTTAGACCTTTTTTTACCTCCCATCCGAGGCAATTTGGGAAGTTTTGACATAACAATTTCTTGAGCCTGCCCGTTCATCTTAAAGCTCCAACCCAAAACATAATGAGATGTGAAGATTGAGCCAGTGGACGAGGAGAAGCCCACATACATGGTTTCGTTAAGGATCGGGGAAAGGTCAAGATTCAAGGATAAAAGTGGAGCTTGGGGTTTTTCAACTTTGATTGGAGCCAAAGTGACACTGATTTGCTTGTTGGTA